AGAACAATTATGCTGAGTGAAAGAAGCCAGACAAAAATAGTATAGGTTGTGTACGATTCCACTTTTTAAAAATTCTAGCAAATGCAAACTCATGTGTAGGACAAAAGAAATCAGTGGTTTCCAGGGGCTATGGAGAACCAAGGAAAGAGGTAGGCTGGTGAGCTAGTAGGTAGGACTTACAAAGGGGCCCAAGGAAACTTTGTAGGGTGATATGTTCATTATCTTGATTATTGTGACAGTTTTGTGGGTGTGTACGTATGTCAGAATTTGTGTTATGCTATAAGAGATAATAAAAGGGGGGGAATACTGTATAACCATTGTGAACAGCAATCTATTAACACTTGCCATAGACGGTAGGTAACAAGGGAAATAAATGCATCTAAAACAGAACAATGGAAGAAAAGATCTACTTTTACCTGTGAAGTTTAGGGCCTAAAAAAGGCCCTCATGTTTCACCAGCTGTGCTCCTATCTTAAGTTTGATTCTTGAAATATCTTTTATGGTGACCGGGAATTAAGTTTAATTGTCAAGAGCAAGGGTTTTGGAGTTGGACAGACCTAGGTTTGACACAGTTCTCCTCTGGCTGTGTGATTTTGGGCAAGACGCCTGCACTCTCTAATAGTTTTTCCTCTACCTATGAAATGGGATGGTAGAGGCATAGTAAGTACTCCATAGATAGAAGCAATTTTTGTTATTATTTTTATTCATTTTACATTCTGATTTTCAGAAGATTTAAAATGCAGGTAGTCTTGGGTGAGAAAATACAGTATTTTAAATTTCCAGGTGGTCATGTTATCATAGAATTGGAATCTTTAGCAAAGTCTTACTTGAGAGCAGTAGAGAAAGATAATCGCGTGAAGGGGAAAGAACACAGGGAGGGTGACATAGGTGATTTGTCAAATGCCCACCTTTTTGTGTGTTCCTCTCCGTGGGCATCAAGCTTCTAGGTGACCCTCTCATCAGGTTTCTCTGCTTGTAGTGACTTCAGCTCTCTGCAGACTTTGTTTGAATTCTTTAGTCTTTTTCTTTGTTCAATAATAATGACATTGTTCAAAAGTGCTCTATGTATGAATACTTACAAAGAAGTCTGTTCCAACATTTAGCATGTACTTTTTGTGCACGTTTTTTTAGAAGTGTGTTATTTATCTCTAAAATATTAATTCTTTTACTACTTTCTTTAAATTGATAGATTTCATAAATTGATCATATTGTTGATATGCAAGTTGTGGAGGATAATACGGTAAAAATACAGTCGAACTCTGAAATGATGTTATATTCACTTTTAGACACTAACAGAATTACCTGCTTTCCCATGATCTTGCCCTAATTTTTTCCTCTGCCAGCGGGCTGCAGGGATTTGACAGATGATTGATTGGGTTTTAGAGGGTCCTGGAATCACACAAAGTGTTTTTCATATTAGAAAAGACATGCCTAGTTTTTCACAAGTTTCAAGATTTATCGCCTCACCTTAATGTGTTACAAATTAGTTTGTTTGCTATTTATTTTACTCAGAATGTAGTAATTGGTGTCATTAGTGGAAGGGCAAATTTGATCACAACAAAGAGTAAACTGCCTTTTAAACACTGTTTGTTTTTTCTTTGGCAACTCTGCAGGCCTGGAGATCAGATGGGTAGACTGCTACTTTCCATTTACTCATCCTTCCTTTGAGATGGAGATCAACTTCCACGGAGAATGGCTAGAAGTTCTTGGCTGTGGGGTGATGGAACAACAACTGGTCAATTCAGGTAGAAAAAAATCCCATATTTTATTTACGAGCTTGCTAAAGAACATTCTCTTTTCACATAGCCTCAATTGCTGGTATTTATGTACTCCCATGGGGCAGCATCTATCTTTCTCCCCTCAGATTCCTCTCTAGATTTATCTCTGACACTGAACTCAAATCTCATTTTGCAAAGGCTTCTTGTCACCAGACGTCTTCCTTGTCAGCACGTGGGTGCTGGTTGTGT